GCTGTCTGCCTGTCAGGTGCATGGGACAACAGTTTAAACAATTATCCCAGCAGGACAAGCAAGCAGACAGCCTAGCAGAAAGCCATAGCTCTATGGTCAACAAGGATGTCTATGCCTGACCGCTGACCAGTGGAACTCGGTACAAAGTAGTTGTAGGAGTGCTGACCCCACCTCTGACCACTGTGCCCTAGGCTAGGTAAGGCCTACTCACTTCCAAAGTGGAGCAATGTCCCAGCATTCCATCCAAAGTGGTACCCATTTTCCTCCAGCTTGCTGTCACTTTCCTGTTAGGAGACAAATATGGTTCTGATAAAACTCCCTACAATGAGGCCCCTTCACAAACACATAAACTAGACCAGCGTGCTGTAGGACTGTGTCTTTTCTGATGGTCAGGACACACGGATAAATGAAGGCTGCAGCAGGGAAGGAGGAAGAGGAAGGAGAGGAAGGAGCTCCCTTCCCCTCATGTGGGGAAACAATTCACTAGGATCAGAAACCTAAAGGTTGGACAGGTTAATGAGTACTGCTAGTTATTCCCCTGCAGACTGGTCCACGGGGTCTGCACGTTCAAAGGCAGCTTACACGTGATAATGGCTCATGGCCCCCATTGAGGAGGATGCTGTGAAACACCAGCCCTTGATCATATTACCTTGATAGTGAGGATTTTCTGGAGGGAAATCTATGGTAATTGGCTCACCTCCTCCTGTGCTGGACTCAGACCCTTCATGCTGGAGAAGTGGGCACACTGCCATCTGGACTTCCTGCAGATTTCCTGCTTCTGCTGTCTCAGGCCACACCTGCAAGTCGCCACCCTGTGTCTCCTGATGTAGAGAGCTCATCACTTTAAAGAGGATGGACATGGGAAAGGGACTCTAGGGAAATTTGAAATATGCAGCACTTAAGCTAGACCTACTGTGCATCCCTCTCCCCATGGCTCCTCCCATCTGTCTCTTCCATTCTCTCCAAATCCCTCCCTTAGCCAGTTCTTTCCTGCTGCCTCTGCAATCCCTGCTTATCGTCCTCTGTTCTCCATCCCCTGCTCAACCATGACACTTTATTTAGAAGTGGGTTTGTACTGTGGCACTGGTGATTTTGAAGTCAGAGTTTTAAATTTGCATACCCAGACAGTGAAAAAGTTAATGTGCCAAATACAAAGGACAGCTGACAGTATCAAACACAACATTAATTAGTGTCAGAGACAGTGAAGGCCTGGAACAAGACCAGTGACCCCGCAATGAGCACTAACAAGTGAAGGTATGTGGACAGAGGGGTTTACAGTGTGACTCACTCTGTCACACTCGGTCACTGCAGCTTCCATGAGGAAACCTTTAGGTTTTCCCCTTTCCTCCCTTTTTAATTTTATCTTATGTTTCC